TCTTTACATTACAAAAGACGTGTGCTTAGTTAGATGAATATTTGAGTATATCTCCTCCGTGTTGTCTCCTTCTTATAGGAATTATGTAGATTCAATTGAACCAGTTCAAAAGCAACTCTTGGAAAGCAACCTTAGGAATTTGGGTTGAAATCCGCTTGTCACTCTTCCCCCTTATGAAATTAGGTTGCTTCCGTTATTCTGACCGTCGCTTGATAACTGTAGATTTATTCTTGGCGTCTTCTTCTTAATTAAGTTAATTAGTGGTCCTATGAATTTGTCCACATCAAGTGGTATACGCGACAGGATTCTCTAGGGGACCAGCTTTGGCGACAGCACAAACTTGTAGCATTAATAATCCATGCAGTTTCTGAGATGGCGGTTGTAGGAAGCTGCGAATTGTTTCTAGTGATTACCATCTACATTTGTTTAAGAAGAAAGTCGCAAAGACGACAGGGAAATACAAATAAAGCAAATTTTAGAAGAGCTTAAGTTGGATGCCTTACATGGCAAACATACCATCTTTTTATACCTTTTTATTCTCCTTTCATAGATAGACATTGTACTGCTTCTGCAGTAGAAACTGAACGGAAAACAAAACAATTTTCGCAACTGGTCGGACTATTGGAAAAGGTGGGAAGCAAGATAGAAAAATGGATTAGAGGTGCACAGCTGTATAATCACTAGCTTTAGATTACGATGAAAGAAATTGAGAGAGCTATGATACGAAAGCTCGGTCTATGTTCGTATAAATTTCTTATTTTCATTGCTTACTCTCATCTGCAAGTTCACGATCGATCTAAAAGAATGCATGATCTTAATACTAGAAATGTAGTTTACATTTGCAAGCTTATCGATACTCCAACACCAATGCACAAAGCAATTAATGCTTTTGAATTTCTCATTGTATAATTTACTTAAGTTTTCCTTGCCCTACAAACTTTTGTCAAATATTTGACCTAAGAGATACTCTGTTAATTGCACTCGTACAATCAATTTTATTTTAGGTTTAATAATGTTAAAAATTTTGATCTAATTTTCATAATTTTGAAAAACAAGTATTATTAATTACAAAGCCAAACGAAAACAAATGTCATGCCAAACACAAGCACGAGTTAAATACAAATTGTAGTTTATAAGAAGATGTTTGGAATAGAAGGGTGCCGGCACGTATTGGAGTTGGTTCTAATGATGATCCGTGGTAGTAACATGTAAAAAGACGAGAACAACACAAATCAGGTAACGCGTAATTTCTTTGACAGATGTAAGAAAAATGTCTTCGTTAAAAACAATTTGCGTATGCCTTGAATGGGTGACACAGTTACTGCTTCGGATAGTAACATGGACGATGCATAGCGTCGTCATGTAAAGAGACAAGAATATGTTAGTTAACACTTAGCTTCTTTCGCAGATGTATTGAAAGTGTTTTCATGTAACATAATCATACATACCTTGGGGGGTGGAATAATCATCGACCCTAATCCTTATGTGTGTCATCCATAGTTTTAACAAGTAAAGATGTATAGGTAAGTTGTATAATCCAAGATGAGAAGAGTTTTACATAAAAAAAAATACATACAATAATAATATTACATACAAACATAATCAAGGTTTATTAAGAAGTATTTCTAAAGGAACTTTAGGTGCAACAAGTATTTTGTTTCACAATTACTCGATAATCAGATGTACTTACTCCCTTCATATGCATTCGAAGTTAACGATGGTCCGAAAAATAAAAGAAACGAAAGCATAAAATTTATAAATATAAATATTTCTGAAAAAACTTTATGTGTACATCTTGAGAAATGCGGGATAACTTGTTTCAGAGTAATTCGATTATCAAATATACTTACGTTCTTTATATGCAGTCGAAGTAGACAGAAACACCAAATTAACCATGAACCGAAAAATAGAATAAACGAAACAATAAACTTTATAAATGAAAATTTTCTTGAAAGGGCTCTATGTGCACACCTTGATAAAATGCGAGATAACTTTTTTCAGAGTGATTCGATTATCAGAAATACTTACGGACTTTATATAAAGTCGAAGTTAACAAA